TTTTTCCATCTTTCACCACATTGCAAATGCTTAAAGTTATTTTGGGTTTCTCACTTCCCTGAACATAGATAGGAGAGAACCAAGACAATTGTGCAGTGTGTGATGGATGTTGGTGGCCATTTGGTTGGCATGATGTTTCTATTATCTCTGTTAACTGCACTGTTCACTCACCAACACTGTTCTTGAGATCTTTTAGACCCTTTTTGCTGGCTATGTAATTGTGAATTTGATTATGTTGATTTAGTTTTGACTATGTTTGACTATGTTTGACTCTGCTAATCACTGTAGTCTTCTTTCTGAATCTAAATGGTAGTGCTACTGTGCTAGCCCTTTTTGCCTGAAGACTCCACAGGTCCTTCTAGTGGCAGAGATGCCTCTCACACAGGCAGTCCCTGTGTTTGCCTCCCAGGGCTGTAGTCTTGTGGTCTTTCTATGTGGTCCCAGTGGGGTTGGCTCCCTTTAAGGGTGTTTGTGGTGTATTTTTTTAGTCACCAAAAAATGCGCAATTGAATATGCATTTTATAAAAAAATACTCTCTCCTTCCTTCCCCCCCTCCAGAATTCCTCTATCCCCAGCTATTTTGTGTTTATAAAATGACCATCGTACTAAGAAGTCAGGCAATTTGGCCAATACCAGGAACCTGGAAAGGTAATTTTATAAAAAATAGGTTCCTTACACCCTGGATTTCCTCTATCCACAAGCTCTTTGGAGTTTATAAAATGACCATCGTACCAAGAAATCAGGCAATTTGGCCAATACTAGGAACCTGGAAAAGGCATTTTATAAATGACAAGGCAGGTAAAACATGACAAAACCAAAGAAGTCCAAGGAAAAGTATTCCACGCCTTCTTGTGTTTTGCACCAAACAGGCTCAAGTCGAGCACGTCTAGCCAACACCCAGGCATCTTGACATTCTCAGAGCGGGCTACCTTGCGCAATCTTACTGTCACTGAAGATGTATTGAATAGAGACTGTAACAAAATGTATCAAATATATACAATTATTATTTGCTGAAGTTAAGGCAATCACCATGGCTTCTTGCGCATTTGGGTTGGAAGAACCACTTGTGAGAGGTTGCCCTGTACAGGCAAGAGAGAAACGTGAGCCAAGCAAAAGAAAGAAAGCAAGAAACATCAGCAAACATCAGCAAACCATGAAACCACACCTAGCTCCCTCTTAACTTTTATCTCCTTCTTCGCATGTTCTACCTTGCATCCCTTTGCGCGGCCTGCGTGTGCAGTTACACTGAAACAGAATAACATGGAACATCATGGACCCCAAATAATTTGCTCCATGTTTGACAAGAAAACCATTCCAGGCCTTGCTCTTGAAGATGTGCTTCACCCGTGTTTGCCACTAGCCTACTTCCTTCTCCTGAACCTCTTTCTTGCATGTTCAACATGTTCTTCTCTATTCGAATTGGTTCTTGTTTTACTTTTTTGAGGTTTTCTGTTGTCTTGGCTGCTGACATTGGAGCCGAATCAAGATCGCCTCCGCAAAAGGAATAGAAACTGGAAAATGATCCCAACCATGCAAAGTGCTTTGCAACCTGTCAATGTCACCCTGCCTTGCTTTCTCTTTTTTGGTGGAGTCACTGGATCAGCTTCCTGACCAACCTTCTGGTCTAGAGGAGCATCAGCCATCTTTAAAAGATGGTCACCACGTTCTATGTGTGAATCCAGCTGCCGCCAGAGACTCTCTCGCTCAGTTTCTTGTTTTTTTTTGGGAGGTGTACCTGCGCAAAAGTTTCCACTGCTTCGGCCTAATTATATATATATAAACCCAATCCAGGCCAGTCCTATTGTAAAGAGTCCAAAATAGTCCAAACATCTCCGCTAATGTTCTTGGTTGGCCTTGCCTGGCTCTGGTTCCCTGCGACTTTCTTGAACTTGGCCACATTCATCGTGCGCAACTGCAGTATTGCGGCAAGTATTGACAACCAACGAAAATCTAAAAAAAATCATTGCTATACATTGAAGCTCAAATTGCCTGCTTCTGAAGAAGTGGTTGCATCGGGTCCCTCGATGGGTCCTGTAGAGAAATCAACTACATCATCCGCTTTATAAAAAGGAATTCCAACTGACACTGTGCATCTCTGCACCCATTGTTTTGAGGGCCTCACCTGGCTGTGGCCCATCGAACACAAGCTAGTTAGCACTGGCGCGCACTGGCTGTTGTTTATGAAATGGTCGTCGGAAACACAGGGCCTTGCAGGACAGGTGGAGACGGCGACCTCCACGGCAACCTCCGCTTCTTGTACTGAATCTGCACACCTGACGTTGCAACAGCAAAGGAACCGATGTTGAAAAACATTGATTTCATACTGAACATCAAAAAAGGCTGATGATGGCTGATGTATTTACTATTTGTTTTCTATAAAGCCTTCAAGTATGATCAAGTTGAATCAAGCTGCATATTGTCGAAAAAATAGGTCTTCCATGGTCTTCTTTGATTGGTCATGCCCTACAATCCCCACCCCACTCCTGGCATTTCCGCAACTGCTTCCGGAGGTGCAAGACTCGATGTTGATCCTGCTGCCGAGACTACCCTCTGGCCAAATGGCATCACATGATCTCAAATGAAGTCAAGAAAAAAGAAAACCATAGAAAACCTTTAACAAGTCACCTTGCGTGGTTCTGCTGAGTTTTATTTTAAATGTTTCATTTATAAAATGACAGCAATCTTAATCAATCAAATTGCATTTCATAAAAAAAACACTTCTTTGATCCCCCCATATTCCTCTACCCGTACATGGCCACTCCCGAACGGAACTCCTGATGTCTCCGCAACTGCTTGCGGAGGTGCAAGATCCCCTGTTGATCCTGCTGCCGGCACTAACCACTGGCCAAATGAACCAGTGTAAAAAACATGAAGTGAAGTAAAGAATGGATAAGAATGGGACTTCAAGAGATCATCTGTCCTGGTTCTGCTGATTCTGGTTCCCTTTCCTTTGACTCTTTTT